GAGACAGTCAGTGTCGCTCATAAAATCAGCATTCAGAGATGGAGACAGATCTTTAAAGCAGACTGATAGAGTCCTGTTGCACAGAAATAGCCTCAGTGACAGTAAGTTAAAAGGAATGTGTGGTATGGGAGGAACTCGCTGGTATGTTGTATAAGCCCTGCATGGCAACTGTTTAGTAGTCCACAAACGCAGTCAACAGGTCATTCCTGGGAGACAGGTTGTAGGGTAAAGGCTAATGACACGCCCATTAAGATCAATTAGCAAATGAACACATAGCTAATTCCAGTTGCTGAGTTATTAAGACTCAACTATTTCAGCTATGAACGTCTCACATGGCTTTGACTGCTGGAATTTAAAGCCCCATTTATCCGTCCGTCATAAAAACTCAGACAGATCATCCACCGGGTGACAGATTTTGGTTTCACTATCATCTTTTGTCTAGCTAAGACAATGATTACATAATGAGCCCATGCTTACATCCCCAGTGAGAGGATTTTGAAAGTGTCATGTAGTCATATGACCAATTCATAGCAGTAAGGTTGAAAAATGATTCTTTCAATTAAATTCAAGTAAAACTCCTTAATTCACTATTCAGTGCTCCTGTGTGTAAAATGTTTATGTGATTATAGCATCTTTAACCTTATTCTGATGACATAAAGTTTTTCTCTTTAAAAGGAAATAGACCATCCCAGTGAATATTGGTGAATTCAGTGTGTTGCTTTTAGCCCATTTCTTCTTGCTGTTTATAGGTCTGATTTGTGTATCAGTATGCATTGCTGTCTTTTTTCATAGTTCCAGTAGGGGCAGCAAAGTCAGAATTTTCTAACTATCCAGCTTTAATAAGTACACAATGTGTCACATTTTGACAAAAAGAGAAGTTGAGGCTTTTATATACATGAGAAATTGCCAGTTATGGCAATTAAATCTTGTGTCAATATCAATGGCAAAACCTCAGTTTCGAGGCGGCAGGGTGGCTCAATGGTTAGCACTGTCACCTCACAGCAAGAAAAGTTGCGTGGCTAGAAAATACCTATAACTAGTGTTTTCTATATTATTAATAACTATCTTGAATTAAAGGAATACACATAAGCATTTATTTTCTATATAAATACTCAAAATGCATTCAATATTCAGTGCATAAGATGACCTGATGAATGTAAGTCTAATATTCACTGTGTCATAGAGAACTATGGGTAACTGCAAAGTCAGGTGATAACTCTGTGGGTTTCTCACTGTGAGTGACGCCTACATTTGCCCTATATTTAATATACAAACATGAATTAGAGCACCTTTAATGTCCCCATCTTGTTCATTTAGTGTTTATTTTTGTTGTTTTTCTGTTGTTGATCAAAATCTAATGGTCATATTTTACACATTTGATGTTTACCTCTACACTGATGACACAACATCACAAAGTTGGAAAATGACACAACCAATAATAAAACCAGGCCATGAGTCAAACAGTCATGTGTCAAGCAGCCTTTCAGTGGTAGCAGACTTACATCGATCCCTCAGTAAAACCCAGTGACGCCCCATGACGCCTGCCAGGACAAGAAAACACACTTGGTTAAAGTACGGAGACAAAGAGCAGCAGTGTGTTTATCGTGTTTCTCCTGCTAAAGTCAGGCCACGAGATGAGCTGGACACCCCGGCAGCTCATATGACCAGAGATGTGTGGCTTTAAAACAGAATGAAGTATTCATAACTGCTCTACCTCCTCACGTGGACCAAGCTACGCAGAGTGTGTGTGTGTGTGTGTGTGTGTGTGTGTGTGTGTGTGTGTGGGTGGGTGTCTGACCACAAACATGTTGCATTAACACGGTTTGAGATTGAAGCCTATTGGAAGACCTACCATCAAGCCTGCATATAGTTTAGTACTTATATACACTGTAAAGTCATTTTAACTAAAAACAATTGTTGAAACAGATTACATAAGAAAATTAATGTGACACAATGTAAATTTTGTTTCTTGGAAAACATTCTTGATTAAGTACTTTTTACTAGGTATTTTTTCTTCAGGGTATAAATAAAAAATACAAAATTCTCTGTCACTTACAGTTACTAACACCAATTCATTAAGAATGTTTTTGTAACTTACAAAATATAGTTAGTTTTACTTAAATTCTTTTGAGTTAAATTAACTTATCTGGTTTTACAGTGTGTGGAAGACCATCTCAGCAAAAACTAGAAGAGAATTCAATCATAATAATATTTAATATGGGTAGGCTATAATAAAATATATTTGCACTTTCTAATAGGGCATACTTAATAAATGCTTTGTAGTGGCTTTATTGACGGTTATTAAACTTACTAACTTTAATTCTTTATATGGAAGCAAAGAAAGGCCACAAGGATTTGAATCATATAAGCACGTGAGAACATACAGTAATTGTGAGATTGAACCACTTTAAAACCATATTTACCAAAACCATATATTTAAAAAGCTATTTTCAAGTTTCTCACATTCAGTTTGTCAATAAAACTTGCTTTAAAAGACATAGTAGAAATGATATCACTTTATCATATAAAAATACATATAAAGTGTATGCCAGTGGATCTCAACCATAGTGGTGTCATGGCCCCCAAAAACTGATACAAATCAGTCCACAGACCAGTATTTCATAACATGTGTCTGACACTGTGGGCCACCCCTCAAACACGGCATTTAAAAACTTGAAGTAATCTTTTAACCAAATCAAACACATTTAGGCTATTCCATGTGATCTCCTTTTAGTAGCTTATGTAATAACTAATAATTTCACTTCCATTCAGTGAGCTTCCCCTGAAACTGTTTGGAGGCCCCCCCCCCCGAGGAGGTCTGCCTCCCACTTTGAAAAGCGCTGGTCATAGTGTAGTTTAACAGGCTAACAGTGAACAGTGTCAAACCTAAGAACAGAATGGTCGTTCTTATACATTCTCGCAATGGGCTTACTACTAGTCAATGAAATAACAGTGATATTTAAATATTCCCCACTTTTCTGGGGACCCCCTGAAATCCCCTCAAGGACCCCTGGGGATTCCTGGGCCCCAGGTTGAGAGCCAATGGTGTAGGCTATAGAAATGTAATGCATTTGTGCTTCTGTGCACATAATGTATTGCTAATAATGCAGTAAGAACATATAACCAGACAAATAAACATCAAAATACTGTAAAAGATGGAAAAATATTGGAGAACACATGCACCACAAAATACAGCAAACTCCTCACCCCACCACACTTTTCCTTCCCACCTGTATCTCCTGACTCCAGAGCCACATCCTCCTCCACTCTGGACACCTAATCCCCATAAGCCTTTATAATGCCCCACACACAGAGGGAGAGAGAGAGAGAGAGAGAGAGAGAGAGAGAGAGAGAGAGAGAGAGAGAGAGAGAGGGAGAGAGGGGAAGTGGAGAGAGGAAAGTCTGAGCTTAATGACCTTGCAAGCCGATTACAGGCCGAACCACGTTCCACAAACAGCACTGTGAGGCCTTGGACTCGGCCTGCGCAGTCAAATTGCCTACAGTCAAACAGGAAAGGGAACTCATGAATCCAGACGCAGTGACTGGTTCAGGATGGCAGCAGTGATTCATGATGGCACTAATGATAACAATGAACCTCTGCACTTCTTAGTGCCTGTTAGAAAACGCTGATTTCAATACTGGTTTGTGAAAGTGCAGAGTTGCAGCTGCCACTAGAGGGCGGCACAGGCATTCTGTAATTACACAACTGCCCCGGCTAGAGAAAGTGTGTTACTTGGCCAGTGCTCCCTGGTGGGCTAATAGAGCGTTGACCTGACCTAAAGACAGAACGAGAGATCCACAGACGGGGATTAAGAGGCAGCTTGATGCCTCTGATCGGAGGATTAACAAACTAGGTTTCAAAAGGTTCCCCTCTAGTATCTTTGAGTCTCTAAATCTCACTGTTGTTTTTCTCACGCCTGCCACCTCTGACTAATCACAATGCAGGAGGCCACACATCGACTCCAGTCAGGCTTAGTGTGCAATATCAGCTTACATTGCAGTTGTAGCTGTTGTGTAATTCTACAGATTTTCCTCTACTTGAACATGGTGTAACGATTGATGTTTTTGTGTGGAGTTTTGTGTGGGAGTCAGAAATCGGCCCTTGCGTAACTGCTAACACACTTGTGCTGTTTGTGAAGCAGCGACATACGTTGTATGTGGTTGATCCTGTTGTGTCAGAAACCCACCGCTCTGACCACTCGCTCGAGATTTTTTGCAAATGAGCGCACGCCTGGCAGCACGAGGTTATGGCAATGCTACCCTCAGCTGTTTGCTGCTGAAGCCCTCGTATCGACGCACTTCACGTCACCTTTTCGTTTTAAGCTTGAGATGGCTTCATCAAGGCTTGTACAAGTGTTTTTTTCTCAACCAATAAGCAGCTGAAAACCTCTTGATTTTGATCTTTTCATCAGAGAATTCTAAGAAGGCGGGACTTTTAGTTTCACATGCATGGCCCCTCCTGTCCTAGTTAGACAGGAAGTCTAGTCATTGTTCTAACATGAGAGAGGCTATCTGGCCACCTACAGCACCTTAAAAACCATTTCCTATCCATCTCCCACATGCAATGTCAATCATAGTCTTGTTTGTTATATGCTTGTATCTTTAACACTTTTGAGTAGTTACATATGGATATTCTTATACTTTTCTATATGACATCAGAATCACAATCAGAATCAGAAATACTTGTCTCAGGGGGAAATTACTTAAACATATGCATATTGTTTTGTCATATTGTAAATATTTTAATTTAAATTTTTAGTGTTGTGTGTATGGCCATAATTTTATCACACACACATTTTGAGGAACTTTATATTAAGGAACTAAAACCAGTCTGGTTTTAAGCTTGATTACAACACATTGCTCTGATTTTGAAATGTTCCCAACCAAAGCAGAGCATGTAACAATTAGAATTTTTGAACATATAAATATATTCTTCCTTACCATATTCTTATTACTCATGATTTCACATGCAGTCACACAATACACACACACCAGCCATGCACAGGTAAATAAATTCATTTATTCAGTTGTTAGAGAAACAAGTCACTATACAGGGATTTTGCCGTTGTTGCCGCCGTTGGGCCCCGTCCCAGGGTGCGGTCGCGCTGCTCACTTCTTGGTAGGGCGGTTGTGGCAGGCGCAGGTGAGAGCAGCGACCAACACCACGAATTCGCTGAAGTCAACCTCTGAGTCGCCATTAAAATCCAGACCCTTCAGCAGCTTCTCCACCTCACCTGGGTTCTTCGCTGCCTGCACAGAACAAACAAAAGAACATTAATACTGTTACAATACTACATTATACTACTGTATGCATTTCTTGCATGTAGAAATGTCAATAACTTAATGTTGGGGCATTACACAATGATGGGAGAGACTCTTTAAACTTTAAGCAAAAGTAAAAAGAATGCAAAATCCAACAAAAACATCCAATGCACAACAGCAAACATTATCATTATCTTTAAAGTTGTGGAGACTGCTTGCAAAAATCTGTCATGGTTTTTTGTTTTTAGTGATCAGTGATCATCATTATGTTTCAAAACCTTCCACCCTCCTCAGCACAGTTATCCTGGACTCCCCAGCGGCGTACGGTACCTTGAGCAGTCCAGGCAGCTCCGTCTCCAGCAGCGTCTTGGCCTCGGCTTTGCTTAGGGTGTCCTTGTTGCTGTCGCCAGCAGCATACTTATCAAAGGTCTTCATCAGGATGGCCATGGCTGTCTCTAGCTGGGTCATGGTTGCTGCTTAAGAGGTGGTTACTACGGTAAAGAGGAAAATTAACAGTGGTTGACAGAGCTGTCGATGTGTCGGGAGTGGAGGTCGGAGAGAGACAACTCTTTTTATACCTGGTAGGTAGGTTAAAGAAATGGTGTGTTTGATATAGGTGGTGGCTCCAACTGTGTCAACACAATCTCAATGCTACAACGCCCAGTGTACATATTACCTCATAGACAGGGAGCTTTAGTCCTTTACCTGTTGATTTAAGGGGAGTATATTTCATCAACTAAACCACAAAGGCAATAAATTCTGTGATTTGTTTAGTTTGGCACAAAGTCAATCTTAATGAAGGTGCTATGCGAGCTTTGGGTACTATCAGATGATACACACACATATACAGTACACATCTAAACCCAGTGTCACTGCATCTGCTGTGGTTGGGGGTTGTCTGTGCTGCAGCATAAAGGTAGATATGAACCACAAGAGGAAAGTTTGAACAACAAATATACACCAGTGTGCATGCTTGCTCAGATGTTTCTGTTTCTTCTGGTCCCCTGGCCTGGCCTGGTTTCCTGGAAACAACATCAGTTTATGTAAGATATTCTGTGTAAAAGCATTTCTCTGGTCATAAAACCAGCAACTCAGTTGGAGCGCTGCTCTGGCTGCTACAGATTACATCACACACACAATGAGAAAGAAATATTACTAAAAAGGCCCCACATTTTGGTGTTGCAATATTTTACTGCAGGATGCGTTTAAAGTCCCCCTCCACTAAAACATATCTTGGTTAAATAATATGTAATGTTTAATATCAGCCTATATAAACAATGGGCTTAAACAAGCCGATGGCCATCAAAGCAAAAGCAATGTCTGCAAGCGAATGAAACTGTGTGAAAGTATGCTAAAGGTTTATTCACACGGTGTGGTGGTTAACACATTTTGCAGGTAAGGGGTAGGATACTGTAAGTTTTGTTTGTACCCATGAATGAAGGAGTGTCTCTCTCTCTTTCACCCTTTAACAGTCTAACAGTCAGTCTGGCTGAGTCACTGGGTCAAAGTGTCTCTGTCTCTCACTGAGTTTTTGAGGCAATCAGTAGGCCCTCATCCAGTATTTATGTCCCTGTTAGTCACTATTTTCACATTTGTAATAAATTATGTTGAAGACATGTGACACCAAAATCAGGTCATAGTACCACACAGTAGATAAAAACAGCTCATTCTAAGGTAATGGAAGCACAACGACTCCCATATTCGAGGGTTTTATACACTAATAAAAACATACCTTAGAATATTATGTATTCCTTTTCTGCCAATAGATCCTCCTAAATGATTAATGTGTATTGAGTGCTTGGTCATAATCTATATTTTTTATAGTTACTTCCTACAAGCAGGGCCGTCCATAACGGGCGAACCAGGGAAAAACTTAACTTTATTATTTCTTTAGTAAAACAAAGCCTGTTTCAAAATGAAATCTGTTTTTATTTGTATGCAGCGTCAAAATGTCCAAAATGAACTGCTGCTGGCCAGCAACATGACCTAGGACATAAATACTAGCTAATGCTGGAGTGATTTCCTTGCTATGCCAAGACTTGTTCATAAGACTAGTATTGGTAACTCATTCATTTGAGTCTAATTCTAACGGGGTTTTACCAAAGTGATCTCTGAAAACTTTAGAAAATGAACACAACAGAGCACATGTGTTGAGAGATGCGTAATATGAAGATAAGGATAGTAAAATATGGCATCAAGCAAATTGTATTAACGGTAAGAGTCGCTTGTTGATGCAGATTCATGTGGCTTGTGTAATGAAGATGTACACAATAAGGCCAGCAACAAACTACCCCAACTGTCACAGGCACTGTTTCCATTTCCTGTCATTGACCTCTTATGCAGGAACCCTGTAACACCACAGTTTCCACCCAGCGTCCTTATCATGACTTGAAGTCATTGTGAAACCTGCATATTTGCTGTATGATCAGTGGCACTCATTGATGTAGACCCCTGACTAGCTGGTAGCATGATCAAGTCAAAAAGAAAAGCATGTAATTTAAATAAAACTGTCGATAAATGCACACACACACACACCATAACATCATTGAAATGAATTAAGACCACAAAGATGGATGAGACTTAGTTTATATAAAAAATAAAAAATATTTACACTCATATAAAATCATTTACATAATTCAGGCAAAGGTATAATGGACGCATAAGATATACATGCTGCAAAGTAGGGAAGGAAAATCCTGGAGGATGAGGATCTTCACTCTTTTGTCTGCACACGTTCAAAGTAATCGAAGGATTCATACACTGGTACCTGACACTGAAAGAGACAGAGAAATAAAACAATTACACGTTACGCTGTATAGGTAGTACATCAAAAAGTGTCAAATAAGGGTAACATTAAAAAGCCTGCTTTTGTGGTGTGCAAAGGTCGACAGAAGACATTTGCTAATGTCTGTGATATAAATTTGAGTAGGCGTGAGCAATAGGCGCTATTAGTCACAAACAGGATGTCAGTTATATTTCATAACAATGTCTCAAAACTGGAATTTACTGCGTTAAGTACAGAGTTAAACCAGATGTTATAATTCAAACTGACAATAAACCTCTGCACTGTGGTCCAGTACGACAAGCTGCGTATTAAATCATATCCTGATTAAATATTTTAATTGTTTCTGACAATGTATCAAGCATGTAGATTGCGGTGTTTTTTTACAGGATTGTATTGCCCCTCCATGTATGTCAATGAGGTGGAAAGAAATATACATACAATATAATTTAGTCTAATACAACAATTCTACAAAGTACAATCTCATAAAGTACTATAGCAGTGAGCAGGGCAGGAATATCACAGAGGTGACGGCCATGGCCACCGTGCCCCCTCAGTTTGGCCTTATGCTCCGCAAAAAATTATATGTTCTGAGGCCAGAGTTTTCTCTCTCTCTTCCTCTTTCCTGTCCATATGGTTTTTAGACACCAGTGTCTTTTGTTGACATTCTGATTGGGGAACAAGTGAAATGCTGCGAACACAACCGGTTGGGTTTGATTTTGAGCCTGGTGAACTGCTGGAAAACCAGCCTATTTATGATGTCTAGTACCGGTTAGCCAGGAGACTTAATCAGACCTGATGTGCCGATGCCACAAAGCTCTGTGACTGAGTGAACTTCTGAAAAGAGGCTGACTGAAGTAAGAACATCTGATAAATTAGTGAACAAATAAGGCTGGAAACTCACATTGCTTTTATATCGCTACAACGTTGACTTATCGCATTGGTGAGTGGGAGTGGAACTGTGGTTTAGTATAGCTTGCTTTATAACATTTGGTTCTGTTGCGTCTTTAAAGAGTAGGTCTATGAATGCATGTTCACACAATTCACCACGTTACCCAACCTGTCTCACACTACAACTCACACAGATTATATATCATAGAAAGCAAGTCTGGGAAGAGTTTAGAAAATTTGAACAGGTTGTTTAAAAACTATCTAAGACTGAATTTAGGAAAGGATGTAATGTTGACTAAAAGGGCAATGAACGCACATCAGGTCACAGTGTGGCTAAGACTGTTGTATGTGAGTGTATTCTCCCCCTTAAGCTCATTTCGATTCCTTTTTCACCACACTCAACAAAAGGGAACAAAAACCTTGCCAGTCTAATAACGCCACATATTTATTTGAAAATGCTGACTTTTTTTGTTTGCTAGTGTCTTTGTAGATTTGTGTCTTTGTAGATTTGACTCACCCACTGAGAAGAGCCTCTGGAGGAAGTGGTGCTGTGTTTGTCCATTTCTGCCACCTCAGAGTCAGTATGGGGAACCTCGTAGATCACCCTGGCTGCTTGGGCTGTGGGACACACACACACACACACACACACACACACACACATATACATAGCCAAATGATTAATAGAATTGGATTTTTGCACAAAATGCTACTACAAAAATACATAGAGGCACCACACTTGAGATTCATTTTCACTTAACTGTGTATTACAGTAACTACAGCTTGTCTCTACCACTGTTTACTTCTGTTACAAGTATTATTACTGCCATTACTGAACCTACAAGGCTAATACCACTAATATACCATGGGGGCCTGGAGCCTTCAGGAGGTCTCATTCATGGCTCATTGCACTGCTAACAGACAATGACAAGTGGTGCCCTGTGGAAACTATTGCTCTCATCTCTAAAAACATTATTCCCACCCTCAGCAGCGCAAAGTTTGCTCAAATAATACACATCCCCTAGAGCTAACCCCATTGCTATGAACAATTCCTCATCATTTTCAGAAGACATCATCCATGGTGTGCCACAGGGTTCAATTCTTGGTCGCGTACATTTCTCACTGAAATGATACCTTGTCATAGTTTGTGGTAAAACCTTGTGAACTCCAAGAACTGCCTCGGTAAACACACTTGTAGAATTCCAGTTGTCAAAGTAATTTAAGGTTACGTGAAGCATAAATCTACATAAAAGTGCAGGTTGCCCCAACAACAATTCATGTTACATAATAGTTTGACAGTTGAACAAAATATCTGATGGCTAATCATTTTATGATGGTCTTGCTGACAAGAATTAAATTAGATGGATTAGCTAACTCCAACTGAGTGGTACAGCCAGCCCGTAACCCTGGGTAAATGCTCAACTTTGAGATGACTCAGTCTGTACAGAAATGACAGATTTGCTGGATGTGAGTCAAAGAGTAGCGCTGTAGACAATCAGAAACCTGGAAAATATCAGAATGATATATGCGGGGCAATATAAAACCAGATTTCTAGACTAAAAATCGGAAAGACTCATTTTGGTCCTCCAAACTCTACAGTGATCAGATATTCATCCACCTAACATTAAGTGAGTGAAGTTTGTGTTTTGAATTTTGAAGAGGAAATAAACAAGGTTGTGATGTTGTCTTTGTTCAGTTAAGAAGTATTTTTTTCTATAAATGGTTATTAGTGTAATTTTTTCATGCCCTTTGGTTTTCTACCGTCAAATGACTCTATTCTAACTTTTCTAACAGAATTCTACTACGATTTTAACCAGGTCTGAATGGAAAGACCATTTCTCTCTCTCTTTCTCTCTCCATATTCTGCTTACCTACGTTGTCTTTAAACCTGTTCTAATCAATATCTTTATGTTAACAATTGGTCAGATGAAGACACACTGTGAAAGGGGTCACTTGTAGTAACAAATGCAAAGAGACCCCTCGGCAGAGAACATTTTAGTGTTTTTTAACTCATTGTTTTGCTTTGAAACCCACAGCTTCCCAGTTCACTCTTATTGCTCTCATTAACATTGTTTCCAGACACAGGAGGCAGCAGTTTCAATGATAAACCCACTGTATAATACCTGTCCAGTACCAAATGGCAGACAGCATAAAGTTAGTGACTAGTGGTGTTGGGCATTAACTTAATTATTAGTAGGGCTGGGCAAGTTAACGCCTTAACACATTCATTAATTAACGCTGACAATTATTTGATTACTTTATTACGTTTTTTTTATTATTATTAGTATTGTATAAGTCCGTTGCTCACTGGCTCTGAATACAACATCCATACAAAGCATGGGTCACAGGAGGGGAGTGGAGGGAGGCTTCGGCAGACTACGTTGGACGCAGTGTGTGGGAGAAGTATAGATAAACAAAAGCAAGACAAGCTAACAAATGCCATAGTGGATAGCTACAAACTGCAGGACGATTAGTATTGTGGAAGATAGGATCGCAACGAATGACAGCACTATGAGTCTCCCTCAAGAGGCACCATCACAAGAAGAATGCACGAGTTGTATGAAAAGGAGAGGACTACAAAAGTGACGTCCTTACAACGTTCACCAACTGTTGCTCTCACTGGAGACTACTGGACATCACTGGGTAACCATAGTTACCTCAGAGTTACAGTGCATTATATTGATGGACAGTGGGAGCTGCATTCACATGCTCTGACTGTAATGAAAACAGAAGAGAGACATATTGCTTGCCCAGCAGTGGAACATTTCAAATAAAGTCAGCACACTGAGTACAGATAGTGCAAGACATTTTTTAACTGTTACTGTGTAAAGGGAATACTGCTGTTAAAAAGCACCTCTTTGGTTAAAGTGTAAAGTTGTGTATAAGTGAAAACCAAATGTTATTGCACTTTTGTTCATATAGCAGTACGACTAACGACTTCTGCGATTAATCGCGATTAAAAATTTTAATCATTGCCTAGCACCAATTATTAGTAATAATAATACAGTAATAATATTACCTTTCCAAGTAATTAGTGGTGTAAGTAATTGCTAATACATTTCTTACTCGTCCAAAAAATTATTAGTTACAATATTACTTTTGTTGTCAGCCTCTGCTGATTTAAAATGCAACAATCCAATCACATCCTTGGATTTATTTTTGTATCATGGAGGAAACTAGTTTGAAAGATGGAAACTCTTACAGCTGCTGGAAATATTAATTACTTTGATTTTAACAAACGAAACTGAATTTTAATCGTCGTAAGTCAGAATTTGGGGGTGAAAGGATACAATTACCAATTTTGTGTGAGTCTTCAGTAGCAGAAAAGTAATGCAACTAGTAGTGTAAGGAACTACTGTTGGCAGGGAGTAATAAGTAAAGTAATTATATTTATTTTTTCAAAGAGTAATAAGTTATATATAAATAACTTTTTAGTAACTAGCCAAACACTGATGACTAGTAGTGAACATAACAGAGCATTTAGCTACCAAAGAGCCAGATATTGTCCTCAGAAGTAGAGACCAAAACAGTGGTAAAAGGAGATTGAACACTGGCCATGCATGCACATTAGATTGCCAGTAACATGACTCTAAACTCTAAAAACTCTAATGTTACTCCGTGTCTGATGGATGATGGATGATGGATTTGTGTTTTTGCGCAACCAAAAAATAAATTAATGCATTTATTTTAAGATCCTATTGGTCCCCCTTTAAGCACAGTAAGGTTTATTATTGTTCAGTTCAAACTTAACCCCTTTAATTGCTGCTCTATAGAGATATTGGTTTGCTATACTGTGTCGCTAAATTTGTAATTGCTTAAAACACACTGTTGCTTATAATTTCATCTTGTATTAATTTTGTTATCAAAAGTTTCTCTTCCTTTAAGTCTTTATAACTCTTTTTGCACAATAATGACTAGTTTTTGCTTTTGGCTTTTTTTCTGTTTCACACTATGAGCTGAAGCTTGCAACCTTCCAATAATATTTATCTAAACTCGTGGGTAAATCTAAGACTGTGCCAACCCTTTTGCTGTTCTTGAATAAATAATGTGATGAGGGTATGGTCAACGGAATTAAGGTTTAGTCTACCCAAAGTACAAAAAATATCTATTGTCTCACTTACAAGCTGCTTTTGCCTTTGTGGAAGGAAACAGCTGAAGAGAGACAGAAAAGGGAGGCAAGAGAAGGGGCGAAATGAAAAGCCTGGGCCAGAACTGGACTCAGCCTTGGTACCTGTGCACGTTCTACTAGGTGAGCTACTGAGGCCCCTATCTCTGACATTTCTGCAACCCCTATAAATTTGAAGTGATTGGAATTGTGTTTGTGTCATTTCAGAGCGCTGAAAATCGCATCAATATATCAAATTAATTACATTTAAGAAATCAACAGCGACATCTCTTTCAAGTAGCAGTGTCCTAGATACTCTGAATAATATACAGACCACACTATGAACATTTTCTGACTCGTATAGAAATAGTCCATATCATAACTTTTAACAGCATGTTCTGTGGATTATCCTGACGAACAGAAATACTGTGTGTGGAAAGAGATTTTTTTAATGTAATTTTTCAATGCTGTATAAACCAAAAAACAGAACCGTATACAGAAACTATGTGCATTTCTAGATACCACTAGAGTTAAGTAAGAACAGATATTTTTGTAATTTGGGTGAATCAACAATTTGATCTAGGACAATGCATCAATTGAGTTGATGCTTGAATGATATGATATTTCTACATTTTTCCTTGTACCTTGTCTCCTTCGCAGAGAGCAGAAACAGACGAGAGCAATGAGGAGCAATGGAACCATTGCGGCCACGGAGATTATCAGGGGAAGCGGTGGAGAATTGCTGGACTCTGAATTGTCTTCTGAGATAAAATGAAATGCAAATTTTACAATGATAATAACAGGATAAAAAATTTTTAACATAAAATGTGATTTGTGTGTAACAAATTTTCAAGAAGATTTAAGATTTCAAGAAGCACTTTTTTAAAATCTTGCAGACATCATATCATATTACACATCAACGTCTTGGATTGCCTTTAAACATTTTATGCATCATTGTTAAGCTACTGGTGGTGTGTCACCTACCTTCTGCTGCGTCCGTTGTGTTCTCTCTGGCCTCTCTGGCCGTAACTGTGATGACAGTACCATTTCCTTCAAACTCAACTAATAATGGAATCTCCACAGACGCTTTGCAGGTGTATCTCCCTGAATCTTCTCTTGAGATATTCGTAAAGGTCAAGTTTAAGCAGTCAGATGTGTTCATTCGCAGAGATCCTTGGGATTGATTTGTCAGGCCGAAAATATCTTTTTTTACACTTGTTTGATTTTTCAGCCAGTCAACTCTCATTCTTTCAGGCTTCCCTGTCCAGGTCCAGCAGCAGCTGACGTTTACTGTCTCTCCCTGCATTGCAGAGACAGCAGGAGTCTGGGTCACAACAAGTGTGCCTGATGAAACACCTGTGAAGAGACAGAGACACATGATTTGGTAGTTTATCACAAGACTGTACATATTGCATCACTTAAGAAGCGAGTAGTAGAGTTTTTGGCACTTGAGCTTCAAGAACATCAGAGGATATGCATTATATAGAATCAGATCAACCTAACAAAGTGATAGTGCCGCACCAACAATAAAGAAATATTTTGGTCAATTTCCATCTCTCCTCACACATATTTACCAGCTCAAAAGATTTAAACTGTTGAAACATGTTTGTTCAAATCATCAGATATTTCAAATGCTAATGCTAGCATATACTCAGCTATGCCACAGAGAAAGGTTAAGTGTTTGTACTTACTCCAGGATGAGAGTGCACAGAGAGAGGCGAGTAACAGACTGCTGAGCAGAAGCTTCATCTTTCCACACTGACACGACACTGACTACACTCATCTCTATACAGCTGCTCTAAGTCCTTCCCACCGCACACGCACACACACACACACACACACACACACACACACACACACACACACACAGCACACAGGGCACCATCTTTTCTTCAGTGTTCCTCTGTATTTTTGGCAGAGACGTGTGAACAACCACAGCTTCTGCTCCTTCCTCCCTCAGATAAAGGGCCCCTATAGTTCCTACACAATAGAAGATGTACGTGAGATTCATTTTCTGTTCTCATGGAGAAGACAGACATAGTGAAAATATATACTAGACCATAATTGGTCCAACATTTTAAAACCTGAACCCAATCCCTATTTACCAGATATATTTTAGTTTCTGGTAGTTAATTAGCAGTATTGGAGCATCCAACTTGTAGCTGTAACTTGTTTTAATACACTGTATTCTATAGTTTTACTTTGGTTAAAGGTGCTGTATGTCTCACATTATTCTGATGTATGAGTTTGTTGTTTGCATGTATTGCTGTCTGTGAGAGTGTATTTTTTAGCACTACCACTAGGAGTCCCCAAAGTGTGAACAAAGTCTTAATATATATTGACAAACATTGGAAATCGAATGAGTCTGAGATGAATTACCTAATTATGATAAACCGATAAAAACCTGTAGGCTATAGTTATTTACAGTAGGTGCAGTTTTGGAAGTAACTTTTACTCAAATACTGTACTTCAGTACATTTTACTTTAACTTCCTGTTCTTACCCTATGTACTGTATGTTATGGCCATGGCTGCACCCCTGCACTTTCCCTTTCCCTGTGTTTCCAGCGCTCCCCGGTCTCTGTCTTTGTGGATGTTTGTGGGTGTGTTTGTGTCTCAGAATTCCGGTCTGCCTGTCGGTGACCAGCTCTCCTTCGCTCTACTGTCAGCCACACTGTCTACAGCCAATCGGAGCAATGAAACGTGTGATGTAGTGTAGTTGGTAAATGTCCAAACCCTGTTACAAATAAAGAGAACACGTTTTTGTTTTCAACAAAAGCCTAAAGTGGCGTTGTTTGTTCTTCTTTTAGAGAAAATATACTTTGCAGTTTTTTTAATACTGACGTAACAGTGGATTTAGCAGAAAAAGTTGCACATTGTCATCAGATCATCATCAGCCTCATCAGGTTGTTTACAAGAATGCCTCAACTGCCAGTAAAGTCTTCATAGCAAACCCATATTAGACTGGTCCGACCAGATATTTCAAAATAGCAAAGATTAGAGTACAAAGTCCACCCTTGCTCATTTATTTTGTACAGTAGGATGAAGATAATTGTTGCATTGTAAACAAAATGGATTTTAAAGCTGCAGTAGGAAACCTTTATTATAAAAAAAAAGCGATATTTTCTGCAACTTTCACAATGTCCTGATAGTAGTACATGAGGCAAATAAAAAATCTGGTTCCTCTGATAGTAAATAGTTAAAAGTTATATTTATAAAGGTTACCTACTGCAGCTTTAATGGCATGCATTTAAGCACACCAGTTTAATATAAGGAAACAGGCAGTTGACTACTTGGCTCAAACGTCCAAATAAAAGCGAAACCAACTCACAGTGCAGAGTTATTCAATGTTGGCAACATGCCACTCATACAAGGTGATACATGTTGATTTTGGTATGTTGGTCAGTGCAACACTTTATCATGTAGGATATGTTATCACTAATATCACCAGCTGTATTGTCAACTGTATAATTTCCTTTGACCACTGACTACTAACACTCATCTCTTTACAGCCAAGTGCCTCACACATACTACACCCACCACACACAACACAGCAGGATACATAGGAGGCACCATCTTTATTTTCATGTGTCACGGAAGTTTTTGCAGAGGTGTGCCAAACCACAAGTTCTGTTCGTTCCCTTCAGATGCCTCACATTTTGCATGAGCTTTGAACAGGAGAGACGTCGCTGATGTCAGAAAGCAAAGAGTTACAGTCAGACCAGTCAGACCAGTCAGACGGTGATGAGGGTGTTGATAATAGACAGCAGGTTTGTGTAAATGTATCCTAATTAAGACAAAGTAATCATCAAACATTCCATGGTTTCTTATTTTTACACTTCTACTATTTCTCTCTCGTCTCTGTCCTCTTCCTCTTGGTCTTCTTCTGTTCTTTGTGCTGAAGGGGGTTTATTTCCCAGAGCAGCTGAAACATGAATGCACTGATGGATTAGTCATAATGTACTGGAATATATATGCTGCTAATTGGTGATAGACACCATATCTTCACAGTGGAGTTACGTGAAAGTTCTATTGTACCTGGGGTGTGCTGCTGAGCTCTGGTCCGTAACTTTTTGAGGCAGATGAAGCTTGTGACAAGGGCCAGGATGGGCAGGCACCTCAGAGCATGAATTAAGATGTCCTCCAAATTAGTATTTGAATCAGAATCTGAAATTCACCAACAGAGGAAACTGCTTAGATTACTAAAGGGAACTTCAGAGAAATACCTTCACAATATTTGCTATAACTGAATTAATATATTGAAATTAATAATAAAGCTATTTTTGTATTGTGACAAAAAAAATAGATGTAACTGCATTCTATCATTAAAAAAGGTAGAAAAGTGGTTGTTCAGATCAAATATCAACTAGATATCAATGTTCCAACAATCCCAGTTGGTGCTCACGGTCTTTGTAAAGCGTTTACAAATGTACCTGGCTTAGTGTGGACATACACATTGCTGCACAGAAATGCTTTAAAGAAACAGGGCTAGCAAGTTTATATAAAACCTATATTTTTCTAACTTTAAATCATTCTTAATAAACATTATTATCAGCCCTGTCAAACTGGACCAGTGCCTATGTGAGGTCACTGCTGTTTTGTCACCTACTGTCAGCTGTGGGGGGATTTGTGTGGTCCTTTGTGTTCTCTCTGGCCGTAACTGTGATGACAGTACCATTTCCTTCAAACTCAACTAATAATGGAATCTCCACAGACGCTTTGCAGGTGTATCTCCCTGAATCTTCTCTTGAGATCTTCATAAAGGTCAAGTTTAAGCAGTCAGATGTGTCCATTCGCAGAGATCCTTGGGAGTGATTTGTCAAGCTGAAAATATCTATTTTTACACTTGTTTGATTTTTCAGCCAGTCAACTGTCATTCTTTCAGGCTTCCCTGTCCAGGTCCAGCAGCAGCTGACGTTTACTGTCTCTCCCTCCATTGCAGAGACAGCAGGAGTCTGGGTCACAACAAGTGTGCCTGATGAAACACCTGTGAAGAGACAGAGACAGAGACAGAGACATTTAATGGTGGTTCATCCCAGTGTGATAGGACAGTATGTGATGTTTTGGCCTGTCTCTGCTTCCCTCTCTCAGGTCCTTCCTGATTGCTCGGCTTCGCCTGTTTAGTAGGCTATAAGCCTGTTTCCTCCCAAGATGGCTGTCTCTCCCTCCTGGAGGGCTACTGCTATTTGGGCTGGGTTGGTGTTTAGTTTAGCCTTTGTAACCAGTGGTAGAATGTAACTAAGTACACTTACTCAAGTAGAGCACTTAAGAACTAATTTGAAAGTATTTGTACTTTACTTGAGTCTTTCCATTTCATACGGCTTATTACTTCTCAACTACATTTTTGTGCTATTTTCAGATTTTCCATACCCTTCCTGTCCAGCGAAAACCACATATCTTCAAATCTGGATGTGAATGTTTTGTGATAAACTGAAGGTTTAAATGTTTAGAAGATTATCCTATGCCTTAAGGTAAACCAACTATTTAAAAACCTTCTGTGATTTAAATAGATTTTGAAGTAAAGTTGTCAACAACCAAATAAAATGTTAATTCTCATCTGTTTCAGGTACAGTACTCTGAAAGCTACAGTGGACAAACATATTTATTACTGTAAAAGGTCGATTCAAACCACTGAAACTGTCTAATCCTGAAACATTCTAGTAATGTTAGCATGCACTCTGTGTATTTGCTTCTGAAAACATTTGAATAGTACACATGAGTGTAACATGGCTAACAATATAACATAATACAGGGGTTCCCAAACTTCTTCATGTCTTACACAACAGAACCACATTAGACCACAGACCCCAAATATGAGAGGATGTTTACTTAAGAACTCCCCCTTTATTTTAGGTTTCAAGATAAAGTCAATAATCAATCAATAATCAAACTAGGATAACAATAAATTATTTTCATCATGTTTGGCCCCAGAAGGGTTTATTTTAAATTAAATTCATTCAGCCCAAAGGCCAGTGACCTTCAACCAATCACAGCGCAGTAGCCACATTTCCCAATGATCTGCAGGGAGAAACTGAGAGGTGAGCTGATGGTGATGTACAGCAGTGTGGAGTTTGTGGGCCTAATGTCCGCAATGTCACTGTTGATGATGCTGACTGAAAACAATCTTCAGAGCACTTTTTCTCAAACACTGAAAGTAATGCAAATAACCATCACAAATAGGTGTTTCAGTACACTGAAGAGGATCCTTTCTTCGTAGTACAATGGGACAGGACAGGCTAAACGTACTGGCTATGCTGTATATTGAGCGGGACAAAAACCACCAGACCTTAATGACATGGTGATTAACCTGTTTGCGTCACAGAAAGGCCGTCGATGTGAGCTGCTTTTTAAATAAGATATGCCCAAGCTCTAAAAAAAAACTCAATTGGCATGTGCTGATGTGTACAGAGGAGAGAGAGAGAGAGAGAGAGAGAGAGAGAGAGAGAGAGAGAGAGAGAGAGAGAGAGAGAGAGGGAGAGAGAGAACATTATACAGAGAGATTTTTGGCATCAGGCCATTCTTTTGGGTTTGTCTCCTCAGTGTTGCCGTAGAGCTATAACAAAATATACAATGTTGTTGCTGTAACTTGATTGAACGTGATGCTGCTGTTGCTGCTGTGTGCATACCATATATCAGTATTTGCTTTGAAAAGCAAATTAAGATATTTGAACTCAAAAACATTATTTTGGCATTAGTGAGGCATTGAATAGAAATATTTAAAGGTGGTATTAGAAATCAATACGGATTATTGAACTGAAGCCTATCACTGAGTCTAAAACTTGATAACAGATCATTAAATTCATTTTCATTTCATTCATTCTTTCATTTTACTTATTTACTTATATAAATGGGTTAAATTTGTCAAACTGGGATGACCAGGCATTGTTCAGTTGTGGCAGCACCCCTCTGTGTCTGCCCCTGGTACCCTGGGACCATCAGAGCTTTTATGTTGAAAACTGTTGCCTGCTAATGGAAACACTACACCATGTGGTAAATGATTAAAAAAGAAGCTAAAAGAGGCTAAAAAGCCCCGTAGTACAGCAGACTTGGGGCATAATTCTCTGTAGGTCTATACCATTCTATTCCTTTTCATATTACAACATGACAAATGTCATTAGTTATTTATTATTATTTTATTAATAAACAGTTTAAAACTAATTTTCTTCACTTAAAATACACATTTTCGCACTAAATATAAGCAATCTGTAACAATGTAATACATTTTATCTTATCTCTTAGAAATATTAGCTGTTCCCCTCCCACACATTAAAAAAACTGATATAGACATAGATACTGCCATTACTCTTACCAAGACACAAAAACACACGTATGCAGTCACTTACAACAAACATGAATATTACTTAAATTCATATCCTCCAATTGTTTGACCTCTGTACATTTCCTTAAATGAAATCACACCCAAACAATATTTTAAATAATTCCTTGGGGATTTCCGCAGTTTGACCCCACATGTGGAAATATATACCTTCTGTAATCATTATCTTAACACAAAATCTATGCACATTTTCAGGCATTAATCTGTCTATTGGTATGTTCACTTTAATTCTTGTCTGTAGAGTTACATTAAAAATTATTATATTGTATTTGTGTTGCTGCAATACACACCTCCGCACTGACTTCCGTATGGTCAAAATACTTTGCTTTGTTCAAATCGCAGAACTGTTGGACACTTCTGTATTCGTATAAGCTAAATGAGGTTTCTAAGAAAGCTTACAGTCCATTATACCCAATAATTTGATTTTGAACATCCTTGACTTAATCTATTAATACAGTGACTTGATCATCATTTTTTGATTCCCAAAACCATCAACTTGAAAAAGATTTAATGATTCGCTCTTAATTAAAGTATGTATACAGTACTGTAATAAAACACTGACTGGATCTTTTAAAGAGAATAAGTGTATTTTCACTTACTCCAAGATAAGTGGGCACAGAGAGAGGCGAGTAGCAGACTGCTCAGTAGAAGCTTCATCCTCTCACACCAATTCACCACTGCTTACTGATACTCGTTTCTTCAGAGCTAAGTCCCTCACATCTAACTCATACGTAAAACAGCACATACCTGACATCATCCACATTTTGAACTCTCTGATTCAAAGAGTTTTGAAGAGGAATGTATAAAACCACAATCTCTGTTCCTTCCTCTCCCTATGGGTGGAGGGCAGTTATAGGTTTTATTCATCAGATAGAACTTCAATCTGATAAATAGACACAATTTAGCTGTGTCCTGCCCTCTCTGTGAAGACATATTTTCTCCTCATCTGAGCTGCAATGGCTAACATCATTTCCTTTTATTTGTAATGCTGCCCTGAAATCTGTCAAAAAATAAAGGTATCATTATTTCCCACGCAGGTTAGGTGAAAAGGAGAATCGACAGAAGCCAAATAATGTAATGTAATGCAGAAATCAGTCTTTCTATTGAAAAAGTAAATATAAAAAGGCAGACTGTTAATAGCAGTTACATCAACAGTAAAATAATTGTTTTCTGTCTTGTACTTGGCATTTAGGTCATACATTTAGCATCAGTTGTGACTCTAAATTCAGCCCTCATTTCAAAAACTAACCACCTTAATATCTATTAACTGTTTTCACTCTATTATCATAAAAAACAAACCCATGCGTGGATCATACCAGCAATTACCAGCAAGAATTTTAGTTAAGCTTCCAAAGATATTGTATATTAATACAATATGTAATTTCTATTAGTATAGTTGTCTCTCTCTCTCCCTCTCTCTCTCTCTCTCTCTCTCTCTCTCCCTCTCTCTTTCTCCCTCTCTCTCTCTCTCTCTCTCTCTCTCTCTCTTTCTCTAAGCCCAACTGGTCGAGGCAGACAACCATCCAGCCCGGGTCTGTACGAGGTTACTGCCTCTTAAAAGGAAGTTTTTCTTTTGGGTCTCTGACAATAATGTTATAAGGAGTTTGGTCTAGACCTACTCTATTTGAAAAGTGTCCTGAAATAACTTTTGTTATGAATAAGCACTATACAAATAAAATTGAATTAAAATTAATACCATATAGGCCTACCCAATATAGTTCGGTCAACAAAAAGACTAAAACAATACAGTTAATCTGCTATAATTACCACTTCTGTGGTAAAGGCACTGCACACCCACACTAGTCTGCACTAGGACCGCTGCCCTGGGATTAAAGCTATATCTAGGGATAATACATGTATTGTACAATATACCTGCTAAATAAACAAAGAAATGAATGTAACAATTATTATTATTTGTAAATATTGTATTTACAGGTTGTATCGGCATCCCCAAGTTGGGTTTAATGATTTAACGGCAATTTGAATCCAGCGTGGGAATGGCTGACTCCACCACTAACAATAAAAATGACCATGTAGAGAGGTAATTAAAACAGAGTTTATTTTAAATAACATTCTAACTTTATTAAAATTGCAGTATTTTAGCATGTAATCGCACAATGTGAAATATTGTTCTATACAGATTTTGTAAGATAAAGTACAGTATAATGGAATAAATAGATTCCATAGCTAGTGTCCTAGGGTTGACAGGTGTAAAACATAGTATCAAATAGTTCATCTCTGTACACTCATTGTTATTTTTATATTCAAAACGTGTCTAAATACCAGTGAATCCTAAAATATAAATAGACACATAAAAATAAAGTGTTGCACTGTCACAGAGGAATTGAACCAGACAATCTCTGGACAAGAAAATCATGCAATGGTGACAGAAAGAAATGGAACTGGTTTGTCCAGTTGGTATTTTTTATTGACTGCTGTGTGCAAGGTACACTCAGCCTGCTTTGTGTAGCATTTCCTATAGGGTCTACTGAACGGAAGTGGCCGTGTGCTTTGGACTGTCAGTATGATGATTGAGAAAACAGGAAGACCTTCAACCACAAACCACCATTTTGCAAGCCTGAGATGTTCTTGTTTGTGACATGCAGTGTCTAAATAGAGGAACAAACACACTAATACTGCTGCTAGTTCAC